AGCACAATAATTTTTTCTTCAGCTCTTACTTTCCGTATTTAGCTCACTCCTAATTATACTAAAACATGGAATGACTTGTAAAAAATTACTCAAAAGTGGAGTATTGAGTTCTAAAAAGGTCGTTGTTAGCACCTTCAATCATTTCCAATTGTCATTACTCTATTAGTTTTTTTTTTAACTTGATTGATGAGGCAATTAGGTACCTTTTAAATCCCTGCTACTCTGGTTGGCGGCTTAGTTTGCCTTTTAAATATTTTTAGTATCAAAAACGAATCCTTTGTGAGCAAGTAAGTAATAAAAATCAAAACAAAAATATGGTCGCTTGTAATATTCGCAGCAACGAAAAAACTGTACTCTATCGCCTCTTTGATGCTATATTTTATATAATAATTTTTGGTTGTGCCCTCTTGGGCCTCCGAAGTTTCACCAAATCTCAACTCATCTACAAGCTCTATGTCGGCAGTTGGATTCTCTTCATGTCGCTAATCATATTCTATACGCTGTTGTATGATGTGCATTCTACCGATTTAAACATGGGTAACCTCATGTATTTCGTACTCTATATTTCGCAAATGCTTGCACACCTTGCAGTTCTACTCGAATCGTTTCTCATGGATGCCGAATGCGAGCTTATCAGAAAGCTGTATGTAGAATTTGAAGCGCGTTTCAGTAAGGAATTGGCTGCGACCGACGAGTATTGGCGTTATAAAACTCAAGGCTGGATCTTAACAATTCTAAGTTTTTTCACTGTGGTAGGCTCTACAGTCCACACCATACTTACGTGGACCGTCTATGCGGCGCCCTTGACACAGAATTTACAACATTGGCATAATTTACCGAGCTGTTTGACGCTGCAATTTCGTATTTTGTATCTGATTATCGCCATAAGTACGTTCAATGAATTTGCTATTGTATTACGCATCAATCTGAATGAAATGGGTGAACGAAATATACAACGAGTTTTTGGTCCCTATCTACGTGGACGTGCCTTTGCAAAGGGAGGCATTATACGCGTTGCGCCGAAGACAAATCAGCCAAGTGAAGAAGAAGATGAGCGTCGACTGAGGGTCTACAAACAATTTTATGGCGATATTCATAATTTGTTTAAGTCTATTAACGAGCATTATGGGTGGTCCATACTGGTTTTTATGATTATGTACTTCATCTATTTCATCGTAAATTCCTACTGGGTTATTTTTTCGCTGATAATACGACTTCCCGAGCATAATACTTTGATACGAAATTTGGGATTTTTAGTAATAGTGGTCGTACTACTGTGGGTACTGTGTTGGCAAAGTCAAACTAGTCATGAACAGGTGAGTGGTGGGTAGAGAGGGGGTAAAGGGCGTCGGTTTAAGAATAAAAAATTGAATAGGAATACAATACTTTAAAGCTAAGAAAAGCTTCGAGTCCGTAGCAAAATTCAAGCTCGAAAAGACATATGTTTTTCCACAAACTTATAACCTCCGAAAAAGCTTACAAACTTTCAAAGTTTGCTCAACTCTTTGCAGTTTACGGAAATATTCTAAATACGAATTGGATCTCAAAAGTCAATAAATATATCTACATATTACTTAGAGATTAAAGACATCTTTCTCATTCTAAAAAATATTCCATAGAAAACTTTAAAGCTCAGAAAAAATTTGAATCCATTTTAGAGAAATGCGAGCACTTACCAAAACTCGACAATATAAAATTGAAGCTCGAAAAAACATGTATTTCACGCACAATCTGAAAGTTTTAACAAAGTTTCAAAACCTTGAAAGTTTTCAAAGCTTTTTCCGGAAGCTCCAAAGCTTTTAAAGTGCTCCATATATTCAGCAATTCATATATCTAAGCTTATTTAGAGCTAAAAAAAACATTGTTTCTCATAATTCTTCTTTTTTAACTAACCTAAGATTTTTCTTTCTATCATCTCTCCATTTCAGAGTCGCCATATTGGCTGTATTATGTTCAAGCTCGTCAAACCACTGGGCAATAAGTGTTACAATGATTTGGTCACCGATTTTTCGTTGCAAACTTTACATCAACAATACATTATTACAGCAAAAGAATTCTTTAGCTTGAATCTCAATCTACTGGGCAGTGTAAGTATGCAATTGACGACTGCCTCACATCGGTATAGGTAATTAGAGCTAATTGTCCTTACAAATCCTAAAAAGATCCAACACGAGTTTTTTTTTGTTTGCTTATAAAATTGGATCAATTTTAGGGGTTTTCGTTAGCTCAGCGAAAAAATAACATATTTTTGTTTGGCGCTGAATTCGCTTTAAACTATTTTAAGATTTATCTATTGATCCCAGGTGAGCTGCGTTAGTGTTTTTCAGCATTTAAAACATTACTAGTATGCAAAATTGATACTTCGTGCAAGTTTAACCTAGCTGAATACGAAAGCGAAAAGCTGAATTATAAATTTTCTGTGCTAAGTAGTAGGGTTAAAATTTTAATTGTTTGTGAGCAGTTTCTGAAAAGCTGAATACGAAAAAGAACAACTGAATTGTAAAGCTTGTCTGCTACTAAGATAAAAATATGAATAGCTGGGATTATGAATAGTTTGCAATAAGCTGAATACGGAAAAGAAGAGCTGAATTTTAAAACTTGGGTGCTACTAGGATAAAAATATAATTAACCAGGCTTATAAACAGTTTTAAAGGAACAGAAGTTATCATTAAAGCACCGAATTAAAGTTATTGAATTTAAAAAGAAGTTAACAAGGAATAAAGCGATACATCGAGTAATAGAAAGCTAGCTGAATACGAAAAAAGAAGCTGAATTAAATTATTTGTTAGTAAAAAAAGCATTTCACAACCACTTAAGCGATACATCGATTAACATAATAATAAATTAGCTGAAAATTAAAAGAATTTAAATAGATAAGCAGAGCTGAATTGCAATTTTTGCATTTTAAAATCATTATACAAATGCTATAACAATACATCGATAAGTATAAAGTTAGCTGAATACGAAAAGAAGAAACTGTACTTAATTATTTTTACTAAAATGCCACAAAGAGGATCCAGTATGCGCTGAATCAAATTGATTGCGTTAAATTAGCGTTGCTGAATTTTAGAAATATTCCACAAAATGCCAAACAGGGCTTTACTTGAACTGAATGGTAAAATAAAGAGCTGAGTTGTAAAATTTTTACACTAAAATGTTTCAAAAATGAACTCTTCAGTTTCTGTTGCGCTGAATTTATCAGAAGGGCGCTGAATACGTTATAACATTTAAACAGAAATCAAACTTAAACACGAAGTATCTTAAATTGTGCTGAATAAGAAAAATACGAGCTGGAGAAATTTTCGCACTAAAATGTTGCAAAGATGTACGATTTAGTTATTAAAACATTTGGCGTTGTGCTGAATTAGTTAAAGAGGCGCCGAATAAGTTATTAAAATCTTAGAGCATTCTGAATACCAAAAAGAAGAGTTGTGCTACTAAATTTTTGTATTAAATTGCTACAAAAATGTGTTTGAAAGTTTATGATACAGTTTGTGTTGGCTGAATTGATAATAGAGGCGCTGAATTGGAGGTACTAAATTCTGAAAACTTCTATGCTCAGTACTAATTCTAACAGACAATTTAATACTTTATTGCCTTTAAGATGTTGAGTGCCTGCCTATTTTGTTTGGAATTATTCAATTTAAGTCACTTTGACTTTCTTTTGTTAAACTCCAATATTACTTTGAATTGCGCTAGGCATTTTTTATTTTATTTTAATTTTGTCGGTTCCAAAACGTACCTAAACAAGCTATTAAATATTTTTTCTCACTCTCAACTTTTCTCGACATTATAGTATCTGAATTGTTTTTTTTTATACAGCCATCTCGCACCGTTTTATTTATTTATATAATATATAATATTTACTCAATTGCAGTTATAAAAATTTGTAAATTTTCTAGATGGTTGCGTCCATTGTCACTTATTTGGTCATACTCATCCAGTTCATGTTCATGAATAGATCTAACCAAAATCCGTTGGTGCATTCTGGAAATTCTACTGTGAGTACACTCAACTAGAGAAAGCTGTGAGCATTTGAAATATCGGAAGTATTCGAATATTTAAGTATAATATACTTATTATGTACCTTAAATTTTAAGCACCACTTTAATAAAAATCTGCACCAGATCCAAAAATTGTAGTATTTTTATTACAAATTCATATACCGGTAAATCCACGTCGAGTTTGTAGTTGACTAGAGCGGGAAAGCCAGTAATGGAGGTAAACTCCAACAGCGGCAATCCCGTAGAAGGGAAGAATGATGAGACTGAGGCATCCACGGCGATCCATTGAAATATTTTCTCAAGTGTGTTTTTTAGTGGCTTATAACAGTGGCCCTGCGCAGATCGGATAGGCGGTCCTTGTAACCGAGTGGCCAAGGTTCGATGCCTGGTTCGAGCAATTAAAAGAAGTTGTTTCCAATAGCGTTCGTCCTCAGCAGGCAATTACGAACCTTCTTCGTGCTCTGCTTTTTGAACTCTTCGCAATTTTTTCCGACCATTTGGAAATTTACGAGATTTTTTTCGAAACTATTTGGGACTTTTTTAGGTCTTTGTGTGGGATCTCATCGGAACTTTTGGGGAAACTTTCGGTATTTTTACGAAATCGTTCCGAATTTTATCGGGAGCATTTGAGTTTTTCGGAAATCTTCGATGCTTTTTGCGATTTTTTCGGAGTTCTTAAAAAAATTGCGGATTCTTTTCGGAAACTTTCAGAAAATCTCTGGACGCTTCGAAAATGTTTAGAATCTTGTATGTACTTTAAATCCTAATTTCGCTACATATGTTTATACAAAAAATATAAATTAAAAACTATCGGTTTTTCGTGCAAAAGTTTTTCCATTTTTTTTATTGCTTATTGGTACGGAGTTTGAAATTAAATCGTATTTTATAACATACACACATACATATGCATATACATATCCTCGTACAAATGTACCATGTAGTTATTCCGGTACCCCGTTTTTTATTATTTTATAGCCACGACCTTTTAATTATCATTTAAGTACCACCCGTTGTATTGCTTAAGAATTTGAACGAAGATATTTTCTTCCTGATAACTTCCTCGCTGAGTAAAAATTGAACAAGTATAACCAGGTGTGTAACTATTAAAGCGATCATCTAAAATACAAAACAAAATTATTAAAGTTTTTTAAAAATATACATTGCAGCACGAAAGTTGTTGTTATTTTATTTAACGTACTACGTCTTTACAACCACAAACCTTAATTAGTCTATATTAAAATGAAATGCTGCTATAGGACTGCATGTGTTTTAGAGGTATTCTCTAAGTCTTGAAAAAAACATTTAACGGTGTACAGATTGCATGATTTGTAAAGTTTTCCGATAGGAAAACCGGTTTTACAAGACTTCAAGAATACCTCTATGTATTATATTTAAGTGGAAGGACATTAGCTGACTCCGTGAACACTATTATAAACTTCATTTCACCGACGAGACATGCTCAAGTACATAAGTACAGTAGTACTTATTTGCGACTCTACATAATTTAAATATTTCTCGGGATGACGAAGGTTACTACACTAGGAAATACAAAGTGCGTATACGTAACGTTTTTCACCTACGAACTTATGCCGATTTCGTTTCTATCGAAAAATGCAACCTTCTCTTTGCCCTCTACGCACAAACACTAAGAAGAAGGCGATGACAAGGCAACATTTTTTGGTAGAAACGAAAACACCATTAAAGTTGGAATATAGGTAAGCTGCAGTGAGGAACACGTTTGCAAAAGGCGAATGAAATCTCTCTTCAAATAGCACTTAACGTATCTCAGGCACTAAAGAGAAGCATGATGGGAAGAATATCCCTTATTAATGACTGTGAAACCAACTCTGGTTCAGAATTTGGAGTCCATATCAAAGTACTTAGGGACAAGCTTCACTTTCTCTTAGAAAATGTACCTTACTAAATATGCTAAGTAGAGGTAATTGCAGCCGCAAGTCCGTGGACAACATCGTAGGCACTATGAGTACACGAAGTTAAAACATGGAACATTACGCTAATAACTACTTCAAAACAAGAGCAATTATATTGGCGAACATAATGTTTTTGAAGTGAAACTTCTTTAGCGGCGTTTGGTTGGTTGGGAGTAAATTGGCAATTCAACGGAAATTGCACACGGATATGGTGCAACGGAAATGGGTGGGGCTGAAACAATTGCTTCTTGAGTGTATGCACATGTTATTAATTCAACAAAAACTTGCTAGTAAAAGGTTAAAGAATAACACTTAGGAAAATACCAATACAATAATGAAAGTAAAGGTGAGAACGTACATAGATGAAGAAAAGGAAAAGGCAAAAGTAAAAATAAAAACGAAAACAAGGATGCGTAAAGATAAGGCAAAAATGAAGACCAAGGTAAATTCAAACACTTTACTTATATAAGGACAAGGGTAAAGGGGAATATGTAGATGAAGAAAATGATAAATATAAATTAAAAGCCAAGATAAATATAAAGAAAACGATGAGGATGAGGATACCGATAAAAGTAAAGATGAAGATAGAGGACTAAAGAGTAAAATAAAGGTAATTATAGAAACAAGTAATTTTTAGCAAAAAAAAAACCGACTTCAACTCCCATATAAAAAAAATATATATATATATATCTCATGATCCGCTGATCGGATCTTAACCAGATTAGTATGGGACCACCTCTGAGACACTACCTTTCCGATGCAAAAAGAATTATCGAAATCGGTTGACGTGGTCCAAAGTTATGCGGTAACATACATAAAAAAAAAAAAAAAAAAAAAAGATTCCGACGAACTGATAACCTCCTCCTTTTTTGGAAGTCGGTTAAAAAGGATATAGATGGAGACACAGAGACTCAAAATGGTAACTATTTGTTTTGGGATTTTAGAGATTTTCGGGATTCTCGGGACTTATCGACATATTAATCGATTTTGTTATCGAAATTTTTTATCGATATTGTTTTCGATTTGCTATCGGTATTTTCGGAAGTTATCGATATAATAATCGATATTTTTATCGATTTTGTAAGCGATATTTTTAACGATTTTGTTATCGATATTGTTACTGGTTTTGTTATCGATATTATTATTGATCTTGTTATCGATATTTCTATCGTATTTCTTATTGATATTTTTATTGATTTTGTTATCGATATTGTTATCGATTATATATGTATTTGTTACCGATTATTTATCTACTTTGTTGTCGATTATTAATCGATTTTGTTATCGAAATTTTTATCGATTTTTGTTATCCATTTCGTTATCGATTATTTGTCGGTTTTGTTATCGATATTTTATATCGATTTTCAAATCGATTTTGCTACCAATATTTTTAACGATATTGCTATCAAAATTTTTAACGAATTTGTCATCGATTTTGCTATCGATTACTTGTCGATTGTGTTATCGATATTTCTGTCGATTTTGATATCGATATTTTTATCGATTTTCTAATCGATTTTTTTCGATATCTTTATCGATTTTGTTATCGATATATTTATTGATTTTGTTATCGATATTTTTTCGATATTTTCTTATCGATTTTGTTACCAACATTATTATAGATTATGCTATCGAAATCTTCATCGAATTTGTCATCGATATTTTTATCGGATGTTACCATCGATTTTTTATCGATAAAATATAAAGATAAAAATTAAGATAAAGGAAAACAGAATAACATAAATGTATTTAGAACGAACAGAGGTAGAGGTAGGGATCTAGATAGAAAAAATATAACCCTAAGCAAAAGCAGATGTATGTATGACACAAAATAGATATGTAACATAGGTTCCCCAATGTAACCCAGGCGCACTTACTTTTTTTATTCTATAGTAAGTACTTAGTTTCTGATAATGAAGTTACTAACTTCCAGGTCACAGGTAGATTGCTGCTTACAAAATATGTGTGTGTTTGGCCGAGCTTGTCCTCGAATTTTTGGCGTGCGCTTTAATGTTGTCACACAAAGGGAAGGGACCTACAGTTTTACGCCGATTCGCCGAACGGCGATTGTATTTTTATCGGAAGCTGTTTTTTTGCGAAGTGCGGAAAAATATATTGCGAAGTGTGTGTTGCAGCGCAGTCTTAAGGCCAAGTCACACGATTGGGGCATTTGTACAGATTGTACATTTTGGCAGTCACAGAGTGGTGTTGTGTAAAAATTTTGATCGAGAATGAGTTCAGCTCAATAAAACAATGTCCAATTTTGCCGAACGTGTGATGGCAGCAATACGGCACTACGAGCCACTCAGTCGACGGAATGTTATCAGATTCTAGTCTCAAGAGAAAAGTAAGGCGAACACTGCTTTTTAAGTTGCCTTTCGGTTGCCAACTGAACGTTGTTTATACGCCGAAGACCTTTAAGTCTTTATACTAAGGCACATACATACATATAACTCACTTGTCTAGAGAAAAAATTTGTTGGCAGACAAGCTAGCAGTAATTTTACTTAATAGCAATAGAAACTATCTCCTCAGTGCCAAAAAATGAGCGCCAAATATAAGTATATCCGCGGACTATCGGGAAGTAAGAATAATTTCATGGACAAACAGTTACACACGTAGTACCCTTTATTCATCTCATGAATAACGTAATCGGTGACTGACCTTAAAATTTTACAGACAAAAAGCTAAATAGAGTGGTCTTGTGAAACTCATTTTACGCTCGATACGTTACGTGCTTGACGAGATAGTACTCAAAGCTTCTACTCATTTTACATCGCTTCGGGGAACTTTTCCGAATCTTAGTTGCAAATTAAATTTCACAAAGGCAGACCTACGAATATGTGCGTACTTCTTATGTTACGTGCTACCTTATGAGTACTTACATCTCCCAGCAGCGACAGATTCAAGTTGAAAAATCCTTTCACGCTGATTCCAAATCCCTGATGTAGACATTGCAGCGCAATATTGGAGACAAGATCATTGTAAACTTTGTTGCCTAGCGGCTTTGGTAGCTTGAATATGAGACCGCTTATCAGCATATGCTGTACAGAAGAGATAATAAAATCCATTTTCTCACTACCATTGTCTACTCACCTTTCTCCTTGCATTGTCGGCTGCGGTCAGCAGGATTGCGGCGAAAGTGCCTACTCTAATAATATTTAGCGCATCGTATGCGAACTGGCCAAGCTGGAAATTATATTTCCAGATTTCTATGCACCAAAATAGATTGCTTACGATGGTGAAAAATGCGCCGAAGAGCAACGAAATTATAGACCAACCGAAACACTCGCTCACACCCTGATACAACTCGTAAAGGCGCCCCTGCACCAGACGTAACCAATTTAAATGATCGTATTCCCACACAGCATACGGCTGCCAAATATCGCTGGTGAATTTATGTTTCGGACGATTTGCCTTAACCAACACTAGGAGCGCACGAATCAAGCAACGTGTGCGTTGATTTTGCCGCTCAATAAAAAGTGTGATTTGTGCGTAACGTATACGCGCCACCGTCAGTAATGGAATATTAAAGTAGTACACTGGCGACTTGTAATACATGGCTGCAACGACGAGATGTAAGGCATCGCAGGTGGTATGAATGATTAGTTGGTAGAATACTTTGCGCCATACATTCGACTCAATTGAATTGATGTCAGTTTGCTGCTGCAGTAAAGCATCCACTTCGTATTCGAGTTGTATTAGTCGTTGGTAGTGTTTTTGTTTGCAAATAATTTCGACGAAGATCGCCGTATTTGTTAAAATATCAATGATGAATGAAGCGTAGCCGACTAAGTATCCCAAATTTTCATAACTGTCAGATATGAGATAACTTAAGTTGCCAAATATCAAAACGATGAGCCATATGAGCCAGCCAACACGCAAGATAGTCGTGAGCCTCGATAGACGCGGAAATGGTTGTATGAGTGTTATGTACAACCAAAATTGAATGGAGTTACGCGCGATATACGTATACACCTGCCGACTGCACATACTGCTGTAATTGTGTGAACTGGACTGATAGGTTTGATTGGTTAGGGCATGAATTGAAATGTGTCTAATAGAAACTGGCATGATTTGACGAAAATGCTGGCGCGTTAAGTATGTTGCTTATCTGTTAATCGTCAACAAATTGAAAGGGCAATTTCGAGCCCACCCCATTCACACTTAGTTGAATAAATTGCCTGCTGTTGAGCCTAATGTTTGTGGCATAGATTACTTTGTAATGTCCCTTAAACGTCCTTCGGAGAATCTCGTAAGGAGGCGGCGGAGAGCTCAAGCATTTAGTAACAAAGCTCTAAGACTAGCTGGCCAAATATGTATCATTAAAGGTTTAAAAGCGTCGGAGCAATTTGGCAAGTACGAAAAGTTAGCCGGCATCTATTTAGGCTGCAGACCTTTTGTAATATCACAAGCGAGTTAACAAATTACTCCAGTTCCTGATATACGCCAGGTTTCTTGATCCCAGTGCTCATTAGATTGTCAAAGTCTTTAGAGGAGTAACTACCGTGAGGAGTTATAATTCCTCGTCCAGTTACTCCAACAGTGCACAGCTTAGGACACTCCCCTCGTCGTCTATGTAAGTCGACCAGTAAGCCAGAAAGGATGGATACCATTTGCCACAGGGCATACCCACCTTCTTACATAAAGAAATATTCAATGCTCGGCTTAGTTTGATGCCTCCTCCGGACAATGCTTCCGGAGTTTTTTTGCGGACTCTACATGACTTACAGTCTTCAGAGGTAGTAAATGATGATTACCATTAGCCACGGTGTTTACCCACCATTTTTTGCTCGAGTAAATATTTTTTATATCACTGAGTTATTCACCTAGATTAGGTTAAATTAAATTTAGAGGAGGGAGCAGGTCACCTAGTCACCGGGCCGAAACGATCTAATGTAACAAACCTCTTTTTTTGGCTACAGGTCTTCTTTGATTTAGGTATTGCTAAGAAACCTCGCGAGGTACTTTGTCTGAATGCCATTTATGTCATGTGCTTCCAGGTGCGGTGATACTAGGAAGCGAATTCCGGTCCTAGTAAGAGCTTCACAGCAGCACATCATGTGCTCTGCTGTTCTTGTTTTATTATCCTGTAATGGTCAGTAAGAAACCCTGTACAAATTCTTACTTCATTTCTACATACTGAGGTAAAGGAGTGCTTCGGTTATTGATATATATGGAATAAAAGACTTAGCCTTCTGTTATTTCCCGTATTTGTCCAATAAAGTTGCGCTTCGTTTCTTATCCAGATATAGTAGTTTCTGGCAAGATCCGAAGCACAATGGGTAAACAGACAGTACAGCAGATCGCCGTTGCATCAATCCAAGAATAATGGAAATATTGAGACGCTTTAGGTGCCAACTTCATAACATCCTTCAAAGTCAGTATTTTTTCAATCAAAATTAAAGACATGAAAAACAAATAGGGAACCGAAATAGAATATGGCGATAAAACAGTGGACCGACTTTCAGTTGAGTTTGTGCCTATGGACCAAATATACGTCACAAATGATGGTCATTCATTCCTGCGCCAACTGTATCTTATACGTCACATGCCGATATCTGGGAGTTACAGCTGTGATAGGAAGTGTTGTGATCCAGTCCCATTCTAGTCGCTTGAGTACCCAACTTATTGCGGAAACAGAAGTGGGCGTAGACAGGCTCTTCCTGTTTAGATTTGCTACTATTGAAGTCGCTGAAGGACCGGGACAGGGGTAAATATCCAGTGTTGAATCATTCGAATCCGTTCCATAGTAGCTCGTCAGACATTCGCTAGGAGTGCTTCGCTGCTTCGCCATCTGGATCAGGGCTACGCTTTGTAAGCATAGTAAAATAGTCTTCTTCACCTCGGCATCCTTTACGGAAAAAATTCAGAGACTATAGAGCGTAAGCGTATCAGAATGAAACATTTTGTTATAGTAGACTGAAATTAGAGATCTGGAACCTCTCACGTATATTTCTTATACTGAGCTCGACTGCCGTCGCTCTCTGCAAAAGGTGGACTAAATCAAACAGACATCAATTAACAATAAGTTGCGTGTTGAACAATGAGAAAAATAGGGGAACTTTGTGGCAAGTGAAAGATAAAGACGATGAGGCCACGACCGAAACGAGATGGGATTGAAAACGAACTCGAGCGGTGCAGTGCGGCGATAAAGGTAGGTTCATATATACGCGTATATATCAACAGTAAACGGGCTGCTATTCTCTGAAGAAACCTCTTTAATATATGACTTATGCAAGTTATTTTTTGAGAAATAATTTACGATTTTAGAGTCCAGATTTTTTATTTTTAACTTTATTTTTCATTAATATATAATAATGTGATTCGAATACATACATAGAAAATGAGTTTAGGATTCTATTTATCGGAAAAAAAAGTTGTTTTAGAACTGCTATCTCTTCAGCTTTGCGCTTTTTTGGAATTTCCATCAGGCTGAAAGGGAGCTCTTATATTTTAGTTTTTTTTCAGCTCGACATCTTATCTTCGTTCATATGAAACTGAATAAGTATAATCAAATAAGTTGTGGTAGCGCCGGCGATCTGTAATTGAGAAGGAGACAAAATTGAGCTTATACCGAGTTTCCACTAGGCGTTGAAGTGACAAAAAGGGGAAAAAATGCCTACCATTTTAAAAAATGGCATGTGGGTGCAGACTTGATCACTATTATTTCTTAATTCCCAAATTTTATCAGTGATTATTTTTTTTTTCATTTAAAGACTAGTGGAAAACCGCTGGTATTTAAAAAGGAACAACCGCAAATATAAAAAACAAAAGGTAGTAGTTTTTTATAAATGCTGAATAAAAAATTCAAAGCCAAAAAATCTAAAATAAGTATTTTTTTATAAACTAAGACATAAACAAATTGAAAAAATTTAATTTTTTCTGCCATTAAAACCATAAATTTAAAAAGTAGAGGCAAAGAGATACAATGAAATGTGATCACAATAATTCTTCTGGCATAGCGTCCCTCTTTTATTATAAACTTTAAGTAAAAAATTAATAAATAAATAATAAATTAATAAAAAATAAAACATTTTGAAAAGTTCTAAAAAATTTTTGTGTACTTATAAATATGGGACTCACAATGTCCACAAGGCGAATTCATATAAGGTAAAAACGGGAGTACAAAAGCAAAAATTTACATGTATTTTGTTTTTGCTTTCGCGACATGAACTTTAAAAATCAGTAAAAGTGTGCGTGAAAATGCAAACGAAATATTCCATGAGGGGAAAAATACACACAAAATCAGCTAATCTACCAACACCACCTTGTATAAATTCGCCTTGCGTTTAAAACTGGTCTTCAGTTGCTATGAATCACGCAAAAACACTTTTAACCTTTATAAAATGATATAGTTGCCATACCTTAACAAAAGCGTCAGCGTTGTCTGTTTGTCAAAAAATTCTCATGCCCATAAAATTTGTATGAAGCATACAGTAAACGTCGAAACTGTCATTTTCGTATTTCCCACAAACAAACCTATGCTTATTGTTAGTGTTATTTCTTCATTTAACGTAGCATTGCCGACTTTGTTCAGGGATGGCACTTCCGCGTCAGAAAACGCTCCACCCAACGCTTTTGTTTAGTTTATGGCAGTAAATTTTTCTTATACTAAAATTTCTAAATTTACAAAAAAAGACTAAATTTTTTGTCTGTAATTAAAATGCAATTGAAATAATTTTTTTATTAAAGGTTCAGTTAGTCTAGACGTAAGAAATCGTCCATGATTACTCAACACGTCATTTTAGCCAGAAGCGAAAATGTTTTGTATTTTGCTTTTCAGCTAATTGCCACTTTGCCGCCTATAAGTCAAGTCCAAAAATTTCTGGACAAAAATAAATTGCGTTGGCCAATATAATAGGTTACGTTACGTAAAATAAGTTTTGACTAACCGAACCTTAAGCCCCGAGAACTCACCGTATAAAGCAGAGTGCAGTTGATATCGAAGAATCCAGCAGCTGAAAAAGCCAACTTTTGATGTAACAGCTGCAGGGAGAACTGCTCGATCTATGGAGAGAAATACATAACTAGATTAATACTTTCAGTTACATTACGAAAATTGAGTTTGCGAAAATTTGTTTATGTAGGTTTATGAATCCATCCACTGAACTGTGCCAAGGACAATTGGCGAATTGGATCGAATTGATTAGTTTAGACAGGTAGATATGGTTGGGCTAACAGAAGCTCATTTGGACCATAAGCACAAGTCCGTTATGCTACCACTACAAACGTCTGTATGAGCCGAGTAGACCGCCTTCGATACACTTTTGATAAGAAATAACTTGCATATGTCTTGATGTCGAACAGAGCGAGAACTCCCACTCTCTCTTTTCTCGATATCTCGAGGCTGCTTTACGTGGCCAACACATCCCCAACTCATTATCACTACCTACATAGTTATATGTGTACATACATAAGTCTGACTAGAAAACTAGACGCAGCTATAGAGTACGTCAGGCGCTCTTCTTCTAGGTTTAGACCACAACAAGAGCGATCCAAAGAACTGACTGCCGCTTGGCTATCAGAGTACTTAGACGTTAACTTTCCTTGCTGGCTTCGCGTAAATGAGCAGCCTATCCACTGCATTCGGAAAAATGTGTAACAGTGATCTTGAAACCCTAATTTGCGATTTATGGCGATCATCTTGCGAAATATGCCTACATTAATCCTTCCGTAAATCTTCAAACCATCCATTTGGGAGTCTACCATTGTCTCTTTCAAACTACTGCCTTATGTCCACTCATCCCTGTAAGTGGAGATAAATTGCTCGACTAGGCACTCAGTTATCCGTTTTAGCAAGGATATAGTCGAAGCCTCCCAAAATACTAGAGTGTCCAAATAATGAGCATGCTAAGCACTCAGTGCTCCTAAGTCTGACCGTAGCCTTTGCAGCACCAGCCTTACCTAAGCAATGTTAAGGATGACGCTAGGAGTCTAAAGTAGCAGCGGTCCTAGGTGCGCTACTGATTCCAATTAGAGCCGCCAGTTGT